CAGTGGTGCCATCTTGGATCACTGTAACCTCCACCCCCCAGGTTCAAGCAATTCTCCTGCCTCAGCTTCCCCAATAGCTGGGATCACAGGCATGAACTACCACTAATTTTAATTTCTGTATTTTTGGTAGAGACGACATTTCACCATGCTGGCTAGGCTGGTCTGGTACTCCTGACCTCAAGTGATCCACCCACCTCAGCCTCCCAGAGTGCTGGGATTACAGGTGTGAGCCGCGTGCCCAGCCAAGGCTGTGGGTCTTGAAGAACAGACTTGTGCTCTGCATGTCCAAAGGGCCTGTAAGTAAGGGCGCCCTCTCCCAGCTGCGGTCCAGCCCTGCCAGAAGCAGAACACAGCCCAAGGCTCCTAAGCCTTCCCTTCCTTGTCTGGCAGAATGGGAAGGAAATGGCCAGAGGGAAGCTTTAGCTCTTAGTTGAGCCCCATGATGGTCAACTTTTGCCCAGCTGTTTTTTTTTTTTTGAGATGGAGTTTTGCTCTTGTTGCCCAGGCTAGAGTGTAGTGGGACAATCTCAGCTCACCGCAACCTCTGCCTCCCGGGCTTAAGCAATTCTCCTGCCTCAGCCTCCCAAGTAGCTGGGACTACAGGCATGCACCACCATGCCTGGCTAATTTTGTATTTTTAGTAGAGACAGGGTTTGTCCATATTGGTCAGGCTGGTCTCAAACTCCTGACCTCAAGTGATCTGCATCCCATCCCCCCACCCCCCCACCCCCACCTCCCCACACCACCTCCCAAAGTGCTGCGATTACAGACATGAGCCACCACACCTGGCCTTGCCCAGCTCTTTTCAATGATGGTTTATTTGCGGTTAATAACTGTTCTCTTGGCCAGGCACATGAATCTTGCATTGTACTCACGAGAGTCCCCAGGCAGCAGCCCTGAAATCATGGTCTAGGGAGGCTTTGACGGCAGCAAAGGCCAGCTGATGGGGTGGAATGAGTCACCTGCAGCATTCAGACCACCTGTTGGGATTCACGTGGTGGCTGGCTGTATTCTGTGTGTGTGAGTGCGTTCATTCATCCGGCCTTAAGTCAGGGTCTGCAGGACAGACTTCCACAGGTGGTGATCACCACCTGCAGCAGAAAGCAGGCAGAGGGGCAGAGGCGATGCAGGCAGAGCCCCTCTCAAGCAACTCACACTGCCCTAGTCCTTGCTGGGGTACTCACTGTAAATGCCATAGATTCATTTCACCTTATGCCGGAAGAAGGTCCCATCAGCTGGTACCCAGCCCCCGCAGGGCCTCACAGCATCACATGATGCATGACTTGCCTTATTGCTTCCGTAACAAGTCACCACAAACCTAGTGGCTGAAAACAACATAAATTTATTCTCTTACAGTTTTGGAGGTCAGAAGTCTGAGTTTCACCAGACTAAAGTCAAGGTGTCTGCAGGCTGAATTTCTTTCCAGAGGCTCTAAAGAAGAATCCACTTCTTACTCATCCAGGTTGGCAGAAGGCAGGACCAACGTTCCCATGTTCTTGCTGGCTGTAAACGGAGGGCTGTTCCCAGCTTCCAGAGGTCCCCGAAGTCCTTGGCTCATGGCCCACTTCCTCCGTTCTCAAAGCCAGCAATGGGAGGCCAAATGCTTCTCAGGTCAGGGCTTGTGAGGACATTGGGCACACCTGGATCTCCAAGGACAGCCTGTGATTTCAAGGTCCTGAACCTTATTCCCATTTACAAAGCCCCTCCCCCCACCGCTATGTAAGATGACATATTCACCAGTCCAAGGAATAGGTCATGGACATTTTTGGGGGGCCGTTATTCTGCCCGCCACAGTATCTTCATTTTACAAAACTGAGGTTCAGAGACCAGATGACTTGCCCAAGGTCGTACAGTTCAGCAGCCAGGCCAGGCCTCAAGTCCAAGCCTCCCCACTCCTGGACCACCGTTCCTGACGTCCCAGCACCTGCCGGCACTGTAGCCTCTCCAGCCAGCGTGCACACCAGGCACAGATCCCCATACACGTGGACACAGAAAATGTTTGGGGTACGAGGATCCTTGCTTTCTCTACAGGGAATTGCTCCAGGGCCCTGACTTGGTTGGGGGTAAGGGTAGACTGGTGAAAGCTGACCAGATTTCCGACCTAATGGCCACCAAGGGGACCAAGGAGTTTAGGGTTCAAACATGACAGGTCACTTGAACTCTACACTCTCCTGCCCACTCTTATGCATATCACCCCAACCATCCCCACAAATGCTGCAGGACGTGGCAGGCTGTGGGAGGAAGAGGCTGGAGGAACAGTGGGGCTTGCTTGGGACTTCTTCAGACCAGGGTCCTGAGGACTCGCCTGTGGCCCCTGGTGTTGCACAGGGTGGAGCAGTGACTCAATACATCAAACTCTGGGCTGGGGCAGTCCCCCTGGGAAGACCATCACCCATCATTTAATTCTAGAGGCACAAACATGGAGGACACCCAAGCAAACCCTCAGCAGGGCAGTGGAGTTACCGTAAAAACTCAAGACAACCTACCAGGCACGGTGGCTCACGCCTGTAATCCCAGCACTTTGGGAGGCCCAGGCAGGAGGATCGCCTGAGGTCAGGAGCTGGAGGCCAGCCTGGCCAACACGGTGAAACCC